TCCGAGCTCGGGGAGATGGCGGGCGGAGGGTGGCCGCGGTTCCGAGTACCCGAATGCCTACCCCAGGCTAGGCTTTGAATCAGGCTCCTTGCCCTGGTGGGTTTGACCACCGCCCTCCTCGCGCCCTTTTCCGTGGGCGACCCTGGGGCGGAAGCTTGGGTTTCAAATGCGAAACATTCGTCTCCTGGAATCAGATCTGGCTTCCAGAGGATAAGACTTTTCTTTCCTGAAAAAAATCAGCGCCTGGAAGACACCCAAGGCCCAAGCCCTTCTGCCCCTCAGCCGTATCTGCCCGTAAGTAGGTAGGTAATTCTTGTTCAACCCGTCCAAACCGAGGGTGCACATCCTAGTACCTCACAGAAAGCTGTCACAGAAGAGGGCAAAACCTAAAACCCAAGCCTACAACAAACCGGGTCGTGGGTCGAGGCCTGACTAGGTCCGAAAAAAGTGTGCCTGAGCTGTCAGTACAGTGGATAGGCTTGAAATGCCTGAGTCGGAAACGCAGGCTGGCTCAGGACAGACGCCAGCCCAAGACCCAAGAGTGCGTTGTGGACTGGTCTTCCTCCAGGCGTGTTGTCTACGCAGCCGGAGGCTCTGGAGATCTAGGCCCTAAGGGCGTGGAGCCTGACCTGCGCTTGGGAGGGGCAGGGTTTGGCTTCAGGGACGGCATCTCTAGGAATTCAAGTTTCTTATACTTAGTGTTGGTTTCTGTGCCAGCCTTAGACGCTTGGTCCTTGGTACTTTTCATACTGTTGTGCAGTGCTTGGGCAAATACTTGTAGCTAATCACGCACTTGTATACAGCTCTAACAAAAGGTGTGCGTGTGTGTGAGAGTGAGAGAGGGAGAGATTGATTTTTCTGGGCTGATGAGAATATGTGCAGTTCAAATGACAGGAGCCCTTAGATCCCCTAATTTTTCCTAGGTTAGTGCAAGAACTTATTTCCTTTTAATACGATCACTTTTTAAAAAACATGCATGAAAAATTATTTTCTTAATTTTGACTACCTTGATAGAGGTTTAATACCAAATGCATAAGAGGAAGCCAAAGGGAAAATATTTGTATGTCAACCTTGGTCTTGAAGAATATCAGTAGCATTTCTTATTTGACAAGGAAACGCATTTGTTCAGTCTTTTTCTTTCTTTCTCCTTTTTCTTTTTCAGTTGGCACGGGCATCGTTTTTAATATATATCCCATGTTTACTGTTCCTCTTTGGTACTTTGGTCATTTGCAGCACATCTGTTTCTGATATTGTTCCTGTGTTAAGCACACACTATTGTGTTAGCAAGATTTTACACCATCTGTTTAAGAAAATTCTTACCAGTACTATTTGATGCCCAGTTGAACTTTAGCCAAACTTCTTCATTTTATAATGTTCTCTCAGTCCTGAGCATATATATAATACACTTTGATGAAATTATGCTTTTATACTTGCTGACAGACATCAGAAACCCATTTGCCCAGCAGTTTAGCTAAATGTTGGATAGGAGGAACAATTTTAAAATAGTAAAGATGTTGAGAAAGAAAATATTTAGAAACAAAGCTATTAAATTAAAGTCAAATAATCACCCAAATAAACAACTGCTGCACGTGCGCGCACACACACACACACATACACATACACACATACATGAATTTAGACGTGGCTCTTGGGAGCTAATGTATATTTCTAGTGATTTATGTATGTCTTCATCATATATAAAACTTGGCAATTTGTATTTTTGATGTTATTCCCAATGGTGTAACAACTGGTTTAAAATATGATAAAACAGAATAACATTATAATGTGACTGTATCAAATATATATTAAATCTAACACATACAGGTAAACTTAATAGTTGAGCCTAACTAAAATTATGTGTATATATATATTTTCATGTAATCACTCATAAAGGTTTTTCACTGTATTATCAAAAGGTAACAGGCAATGTTGCCTACTTCTCAGCTCATAAAGTTAGAGCTATTTGTGACAATAAAAAAATTAACACATCTGTATTTGATGGCTAAGTATATACATATATATATAATAGTGGCATCACTAAAAGACTGGAATTGGCTTGACAAAGTGAATAGTGGCTCTATGTTTTCAAATATTTTTTCTAGAACACAACACTCCTATTGATACATTGACCTATTTTGTTTATACAAAACAAAAAAAAAGCCTTAAAGTGATAATTTCACATGCTACTTTAGTTATAAGCACAGAAATATACACCTTAATGCTTGGAGTAATAAAATTCTGACATTCATTTCTGGAAATCAGCATTCTTCAGTTGACAAAGACATTTCCTTTGATTGAGTTCTGCCGAAAACAGGTTGTCACGGTCTTTCACTTACTACCTGGACAGACCGCTTTCATGGCAGATGCCATGATTGAAGATACGCCCATTGAATAACTGCTTAGGGGTGTATAGTCTCTGTTTCTTTTAGGAAAATAAATCTTTGTTTTGGTATATTCAATTTCTAAATAAAATGTATCCATAGTAATGTGGGTAATTGACATTATTTAAGCAAAAGTGTTGAAATTCAGTACCTTGTTACTGTGAGATAAATCTGGTTATAGAACTGGAACCAGTCTCATAACAATTCTGCCTATATATACTTCTAAAAATTATTTATCAAGATCTCCATTTTCCTTAAACTATTAATTTAGATGTGCCAAATGTAACCTATAAATTTTTTAAATAACTGATATTCCAAGAAAAGCAAACCTAATGAATCTTCATATGTCTGATTCCAATTAATCTGCTTTGACTATTTAATGGATAAAATAACAAACCTGATTTTATCAATTTGTAGGTCTGCACTGTATTCTTTGTGCCTTTTTAAGGTCTAATGCCTTTTCCTAAACATATTTAGTCCATTTAGTTATCTTCATGTAAAACCTGGGATTAGAGGAATAATTAACTAGATACATTTTTTTAAACTATTTTTCAGCTACATCAGTGTAAAAATGAGATAGTCTCAAATGATGTCAATGATTATTGAAAGAAAACTATATATACTTTGTGGGTTCAATTCATCAAGCATCTACAGTGTGCCAGGTGCTGGGGATACAACAAAGAGTAAGACATGGGTAGTCTTTGCTCTCAGAAAATTCCCAGACCATTAAGAGAGTGACAAAACAGAACTAGCTCATCCCTGCAGTTCTATAATGATTTCTGTCTATTCCTTGGGGTTTGAATTGGTAAAGTATCAGATAGTCTTATCATAATACTTTCTATAGGTTTTTAAACATTTTATAGAATTTGTGTGGACAAAAAGTGAATGAGAGCAAAGTACCTCCTGAAGGCTATCTGGCTTCTGAGATAACTAACACTTTTGGTACTTTCAGGTGTGGGAAGGAGACAGCAATGACTTGCTATTCCTGAAACATCTCAATTATTGTGAGTCTTGCATCATAATTAGTAGTGGGGTGCCATATTGGAGCTGGAAAAAAATTTGTTTTAGTTTCAAAATCTGGAACAGCTTTTTTCCTTTTGCCTTCTCCCTCTCCCCTACAAAATATATTTTATGCTTTTAATCATTGAAAACTTTTATAGATAATTGGGAGAGGAGAGGAGGATTCTACAGAGACTATCATTTAACGCAATTAATGACTGAAGAAAATATTTGCTTTCTTCCCCAACAACTACTTGCTAACTTTGGGAATGAATTATTCTAAAACTACAATACTAAGCTTATTTTTCATACAAACAAGTTGGGGATTAGGTGTTTAGTAGACTTGTTTAAGAAGTTGAATATTTTTTGTTTATAGAAAGTTTTCTTGTGAATTTAGAGTAAAAAAGTGTAGATGTAAAGTTTCTTTAGCACTTCAAAGAATTACAGCCAAGTTAAATTTAATTACTCTTTCTAATACTTTTAGAGATTAAAGTGTATTTTCCTTCTTTTATATACGTTGATGAAAAATATCAGGAGAGAAAAGAACTATCATTTGATTGAATTAATTGAATGCCTTTACCCTTGAGGAAACACTGCATTTTTATTGTGTTCTGTTTAATCATGGTTTTTGGAGTAAGTCTGTATTATATTTTCCTTTTAGAGGATATTACAACTAATTTTACCTCACCATAATCACAGATCTATTTATGTGATCAGTTAATTCCCACTGGCTGTTGTCACACATTTTATTTCTGATTCTCTCCATTTTCCTCAACTCCTTGCTTCTTAGGAAGGCAGGATGCTGAAGTGAAAGCTCTTACAGTTGGAATCTGCTGACCTGTATTTCAGTTTCAGCCCCTTCTCTTTTTAGCTGTGTGACGACTTTTGGGAAATAACTTTCTAAGCCCATTTCTCCATTTTTGAGGGAGAGATAGAGGACGTCGGAGTAAGTCATTGTGAAAAGCTTTCTAGATTTTAATAGTAAATCACTGTTCACGATTTTTAAGAGGTTTTTTTTTTTTCAGACAAGCTTTGAAATCTTAGTTATGACAGTCCTCCAGAGGGAAATTTTTCTTTAGGTTATATCCCTGTTTAAAAGTTCCATCATGTCATAGTTTATTTACAGAAATCAAGTTGAGGCTGAATTCTGGTCTCTAACTAGCAGCAGTTCCTTCTACAAAGCTAGATAAAATTATCTTGAGAGAAGTTAACTCTAACTTCCAAGCCCAGAGTATAGATCCAAGTCTGACAAAATGAGAAATTCCCAAACAGGCTTCCTCATTCTTCTACTTCTTTTCCCTCAACCTTTAAAACCTTACTTAAATACTGCTTTCTCCTTGAGCAACCATATTCATTGAGTTGGGCAGTTGGTTGGCTATTCAGTTAATGTCCACTGTAGGCACAACTGAACATTACTCTCCTAATGCTGTAGCTCTGGCATGCTATTTTTGATGATTCAGCCCAAGAGTTTGGTATTAAATAAACCCCAGTAATGATGCATATGAGGCAGAGCTAGGAACTGGTAACATGATCTGATAGGTCATTTGTTAATGAACTCAACATATTCTACATTGTGTGTTTTATTTCTAGGAGACTTCTCACCCATCATGAGTGTGGCAGGTAGTTTTTAGTTTGTTTTTTGATAGTCATTATGAATTTAAACTGAAATGTCCATCCTCAATTCAGGTCTCCTTAATGGATATTTGCAGAACAGTGGACTAAAGTCAAGGATGAAGATTGTGGCCATGGAAGAGACTAAAGGAAACTAGGACACTGTAGGCTAGGTTTGGAGTGTAATGATATTTTACTTTACAAAATATATTTATTTTTAAAAAGTTACCCAACATATTTCCTGACGTTAATTATGGTGATAAAAACATTGGCATGGCTCATTTTTTTTAGTTGGTGAACAACTCAATAGC